ATATAGCTGCGGCGTGGATCTACCGCGTATAAAATATTGCCTATTTTTCATTGTTCTTTAAGCTATTAAGACTTCAGTATATTTATTTTTTGCTCTTTGCTAGAAGATTTAGTACTTCTTCTAGCAGAAAGCAAAAAAGACTTCAGTGATTAAACAGCCTTTTTAACCGACTTAAAAAAGGAAAAGGTACTCAATTCGATTCTATTATATTTAAAAGCTGGTGCTTCTCATGTGGTCCCATATAAATTTAATTTGAATTGACCAAGATCTGATCAGTAGTTTTTGAGTTATCTAGGTTGTCTTTTTATTTTGTCCCAATTGTCTTCATATTTTACAATTTTGTCGAAGTCGATTAAATCATTCGTATTTAATTGACTCAACAGGGCCAATTAAATACGAATGATTTAATCTACATAGTTAAAAAGTTTGTATGTATATTCTGTGACTATAAGTCCATAACTCTTTTTATAATATATGGCAATATATGGTATAATATATGGTAGTCATTAGGTTTAATATACTGGATGAGTTTTATACCGTCTGAAAAAAATAGGGCGTAAGAGGGGAACGAAATAGCTTATGGCACTGATATTTTACTATTTTTTTTAAATTTACATTAACGTATTCTGAAATGGATCTATCAATAAATACCACTAATTGGGTACGTATTAGATAGTTTTTAATTAATTTATCTATTTAGTTCAAATTTTTTTATTTTTTAGTACCGAAAGTTTATTTCAAATTATGTACTAGTATTATTAGTAGTAGTCTTTATTGATAGATCAATTTCATAAAATGTTAATGAAGATAAAAAATAATGTAAAATATCAGTGCCATAGGCTTCAGGATCGTCATCTGACTATGAATACACATCTCACACAAAACAGTAAGCAAAAGTGTTAAGGAAAGTAAAAAAAGTGTTCTGTAACATATAAAACTTTTCTACAAATGTTTTCGGGACGAACGTAAATTGTTCGTACGAATTTTTGTTTGTGAATTTATATTCGCAACACGTGGCACTTCTCGAACAAATTTTAACAAGGTTCGTGTAGTTGTAGAACTAAAGTGGTGTTTACACAAGACTGAATTTTAATTTAACCTTTACAATTAAGTTTGCAGTAAAGAGTATATGGGGCTACAGGAAATTTAAAGAATGGGCTTTTATGGATATTTTGTAGTGGAACTGTGCTTGAAAGACCGACATACATAACTGCGAGAGACAGTACCAGAGTAAAGAGAAGAATAGACATTAAGAGAATACCTTAAAATTGAATCGTAGATTTGGCTTATTCCTTTGTTGGTGAAAGCTAACGGAAGACTGAAGGAGTGTCAAAATGAAAGTAATGCAATAACTTCTTAATACGCAAATTATGAGATAGCTATACATATAAATTTCGCCTCCAAATAAGAAAACATTAAATTAAATGTTGAATTATTAACACATTAAGCTGTATAAATTTCTAAAAGTCAGGTGGAAATCTCCATACAGCGTCTGTTGTACATTGCATGTATTTGTCCACGGACTACAGTGGCCACTCACCAGGTGGAGTGCAACCCTTCGTCGGTCACCCCATACACAGTATAAAAATCGGTATATTCTGTTATAAAATGCATGTATTTTGTTGCTTTTTAAATGTAATACTGATAAGTGCATTTTAATAAGTTCACGATCGAAATACCAGACGTCTTTCACATATAACGCTGATGCCTGTCGCCTTGAGTATTTACGTATCGTGTTAACGTATTATAAATTTTTTATATTGAACACCTACGGATGACAAGCGAGCACACAGTCCATCTGATGGTATGTGGATGTTGTGGCCCATAGACATCTACATCTTTCCTCGATTAAGAATTAAAATGCAGGTGCGTTGTCACCTCTGGGGACTAAAATGGAATGTCTCATTATCAGTAAAAAGAGTCTCCAGTTCTCTACACTCACCACACGAAACACAGCAGTATTCTGTTGTTTTACGGTGGTATCTTGTTCAGCCACGCTGCAGCCATATTATGCTTCAGCCATAATATGGCTGCAGCGTGGCTCTACAAAAATAACGGTTATACCGTTATTTATCGGAATTCATTTGAGTTTTTTGGTATATCTCAAAGATTTTTAGTATATCTCAAAGATTTTTGGTACACCTCAAAGTGTTTTGGTATATCTCGAAGTCGTCTCTTACAATACCCACGGGACTAAATGGGATAAAATTTGTCAGTTATGTCATCCCGTAGGTATCGTAGTAAGCAGTTGATACGTCGTGGAGCCATGCTCCAGTTATATTAGTAGTATTGTTGAATGGGTCGGCTCGACCGGGGAAGGACCACGCTCTCACAGAATACCAGCGTAAAATAGTAGCTTAATTCTGCTGTGTTTCGTATGGTGAATGTAGAGAACCGGAGACCCTTTTTTACTGGAAATGTGGCCTTCCATCTTAGTCCTCACGGGTAACAACGCATCTGCGTTTTGATTCGTAACCAAGGATAGATGTAAGTGTCTATGGGCCACAGCAACCACTTACCATCAAGTGGACTGTGTGCTCGTTTGTTACCCTATCCTATAAAAATATAAAAAAGCAACAATGGATAAAAGACAGAAGGATGGCCTCCGATAAATGACGCTACAACGATTTCGTAACTATTGTCTATTTAATAACAATGTCCTCCAGACCGAATTTCAGCCACGGCGGCCTACCTCAACGGAGGCTAGCCATCGGCGCAGGACAGGATTATAGTGCCCAAGCGTATGCGCAAGCACAAGTGCACTCTTTATTCCCTCACTCTCATAACCCTACGGGACGGTAAACCGACACGACTGGAGAGAGTTTAGGCGCAGGACCAACGGCTTTACGTGCTTTCCGAGGCACGGGGTCGAGACACCGCCAACTTCCTGACTCAGTAGGGCAGTTACTGAGAATTTCTTGACAGATAAACTCAATAATTGATTTTTCGGCCCGACCCGGGATTTAAACCCAAGACCTGATGATCAGTAGTTGCACTGCTACAACCACTAGACCAACGAGGCAGTCATTGTCTGTTTATAATAAACTACTTGCGATCTACCCCGGCTTCGCTCGGGTGACCTGATCTCCGCAACAGAGCCACCTAATCGAGTCCAATTGTAAACTGATCTAAGCCATCCAGGGACCCACTCAAACACGCACACACACACACACACACACACGCACACACACACACACACACACACACACACACACACCCAAAAGTTTCACAAAAATCGGTCCTCGCGTTTAGGAGTTCAGTGACAGACACAAGTACATAAAAATTATATAATAAAGAGTGACAACTATCATCATCATCATCACCATAACATTACAAGGCTACACCTAAAAAGCTTCCCCATAACATATTATCACAAAGCGCGGTGGTGTTGAAACACCTACATCCATAAACACCCTACATGCATTTGCATTGCATTGCAGATGCATTCCTCGGGCCGTTATTCTACATGAGAGTTCATCAAATATTTCGCTTGCTAGTAAAAAGCACACACTATTTTCCTTTTAGTTTTTTGTTCTTCGAGCTATGTGTCGGATTTGGAACGACTGCATATCGTTTCGTTTTATACACACTTCGAGCAAAACCCATCAAACAGCCCGCTGAGTGATTTCAACTTTTGACTCCTTTAATTTTTTATAGTAGACGTAAACGCTTTTCCCGCTCACCTGATAGTACTTCCTCCCATAAAATCTGTAACACCAGAGGAATTGCAATTGGCGCATTGTCGTCGGCTTTTATAAAGGGATCTTTTCTTGAAGGTCACTCCACAAAAGGAGGTCAACAGGAGCAACCATTCGCCGACGGTCAAGTTCCCAACAAAACTTCGGGCGAGATGATTATTTTAATTTTAAATATGTAACATAGTTTCTACGACTTATATCAGACAGTATTACTTAAGATTCTGCATCAGAACTTTTTTTACTGGATCAAACTCAGATCTGGTACAAAACCAGCAAGCCGCAACTGATAGTAAAGTTGTGAAGCCCATTGATGCATTCCAAAAGCGGGCATTCAACTAACGTATCTCTTAAATATCGTGTAATGCTTACACGCTTACACTACTTCGAGGCCTTTTAAAATTAACCCGAGTAGCGTTCCGCAAAGGAATTTGAATGTTAAATTATTTGATAAGAAGACATATAATATTAGCATATGAAATGAATAAAATACATATAATGTTGCTTACTTTATACAATATTTATCCAAATCGATTTAGAGTTAAAATAAAGATAACTTTCCCTTTATTTCAAAAAAAAAAATCAAATGTAAATATATTATATTTTATATTATATTTTATATATTGTAAATCGTAATATATTTATAAATTTTTTTTAATGGAATAAGCTACTACCTTACGCTGATGTACTGACAGTTTGGTCCCATGCCGGCCAAACCGAACCATCATCATGCTGCAGCCTTAATATAATCTGGAGCATGTATAAAAATATTCAAATAATGAAAATTATGTGTTAGTATAGATGAAAATTACAATTCACGAATGCTCTATTTTATGTAATATCAATTCACATGTTAACTATATTCTTTTGGATTTTTATATTTCAACATTTGTTATAATCTGAATACGGAATCCTTCATTACACAAAACTGAGTATGTATGCTAACGGCTTACATCATCCCACTATGATTAAAACAGTTTGCTAAGTAAACACCTGACTAAACATGCCTCGCCGGCCAGTGCCGACGGATCTCAATGCAAACTGCATTCTGGCCCACGCCGGGCACGTTCGCTGATCATAAATTCATTGCCACGCCTAGGAAGCGCTGACGAGCCAAAACTATGGAGCGAAACCCACACTCCGTATGGTAAGGCCCCAGCAATTCAATATTATATTACCGCTTAGTTCCTTGACTGTCATCGCGCGGGCTGCACAGAAATATGTGCTCGTGACGAAAAATAGTTCAGTAACACGTTTACATAACTTAAAACTGTATCGTCCTACTGTCCCTTATGACGATACAAAATGTCTAAGTTAACTGTTACTAATTTCAGCAAAAGGACCGGCAGTCCCTTTCAAAATAAAGACAAAGAAACTGATGCGGTAACAATTATTCATGAAGAAGTCATACAAAAGTCAAACTATGATGTACAAAAAGAAAAGAATAACGAATTACTTCAGAAAATAAATAAGAAAACTGCGGAGTATCAGTCGAATAAACCGAGCTCTGGTGTGTTCACTGAAGTTGTGACACACGGAGCGTTCAACTCTAAAAAAGTGGAGAAGGAGAAAGTGCAGAAAGTAGAAAGCGTTACTCCACCCAAATATGGAAACGGCTGCAATGGTTCCAAGTCCCTACTCGGTTATCCTTCATCTGCAAATGATTTAGCACTTGATGCCAAAACTGATTTAGAATCCGATCCAAATATTTCTAAAGAAGTAAAAGAAAAAGTTATAGAGAAGCTGTTTAAATTAGTTTCGATGGTGCAACATGCGTATGAATCTAAAGTAAGAGTTATGACAGAGTTTGAGAAGTTCAAGGATACGCACTTGAAAAATGAAATCAGGCGAGAGAAAGAGCATTCGGAGCAGTTGTATAAATTGAACATGAACTTTCAAAATGAAGTTATCCAAGCAGTACAACAATTGAAAAGTGAGTTCGATTTATCGAGGAATTTGGCAAGCAATCTAGAAGAAAGTAATGTTGCGGCTAATCTTAACAGCTCCGTGTATTTTAATACTTCAAGTGATAACCTAGAATCAAATCTAAGTGTTCATAATTTGGGTGACGTAACCCAAGAAGACTCTACAAAACAAGCAGTACAAGTAAATATTGAAACGGAGGTCAAGTCTGAATAAATTAATATGTTTTATTTTATAGTTGATTAGTGCAATAAATATCTAATTTATACTATGAATTTATATTAATTTACTCTGTTATATTTTTGTGACTTGACACCAAAAGAGTGCTCGATTTGATACGAAACACTTTATTTTAAGAACTTTACCTTACTAAAATGTAATCATTTAAATTCTTAGTTTATACAGTCTTAGATTATATTACTTTGATTTTATAGAGTATTAATGATGATTATTAAGATAATAGTTAAAGTACAAAATGAAATGTATTATATTCTAGACAAATATTTTAAGGAGCATTATTAAAAACGAGATTCCTGAACTGAAGATTGTTCTGGTTTCGCGATATTTTAAGGCGGTACGGTGTATCACAAGTAAACAAAAGATTAAAAATCAGCGTGATGCGTCATAATGACGCTAATATAGCTATAAAATGTAGTGACTAATCAGCAAAAACTATGTAAGGCTTGTGTTTATCTGGACATAAAGGTGGAATTTATTAATATTTACATTTTTTGTACGCAAAACGAAAAACATGTTCCGCATCCCACGTTTCTCGTTTTATCTGTATGTTTATAAATCTGTTTGAGTCTAGAAGAAATTATTTTATAATTTTTAGTCTGTTTAAAAAAAGGTGGTAAATATTTTTATTGTATTTTGAACTATTATTTTCAGCTTTTTAGTCCAGTCTAGACTAGTATTCGTATGTTTAAACCTTCAAGTTCTTACTGGAAGTTATATTTGATTGCAAAATTTCTGAACCGACAGACAGACAAGACAGCGTGTTAGTAAAGTTTTAATTAGTTTGTCGCAGTTCCAGTTATATTAGTCATAATAATAAAATTTATAGTTTTGTGTAATACTGCCAATTATCCCTTGAAAACTATGTGACATGAAACTTGAATAAAAAAATCACTAAAATTCATACATTGTCCGTTCAAGTTATCAACTACTGAGTTCTGAGTCATACAATCAATTTGCGGAAGAGAAATGGTTGCCCAACAGCAAGGCAGATCATAGTTTTTGGGTCGGGTTTTTTATAGCCCGGACGTTTGTAACACTGTTTCAAACGTTTCTATAGTAATCTTGCTTATTTCGTGTTCTGTGGCTTAGGCTCATTATCAAATAAAACTAGAAGTAATTGGCGTTATAATTACATAATATATATGTAATATGATGTAAGTGTGCTCATAGATATTTTTTTTAGCTTTAAACTCCAACAGATGGGGTTTTATAATAATATCTCGTTTGTTACGTCTACGAAGTACATTATATGACGGAAAAAACATATAGTAAAACTAAAATAACACGAAACATGTTAATTTTACTGTCAAATTACTCTTGTGGTTGTTTAACAAATACAAGGTCGACAGTGAATTCCCTTAAATGGTATTTGCTCGTAATTTCGTTACAAAATTATGTGACAAATCATCCACTAGTCTTTTTGCCATCACGGCGGCGCGGCGCCACATAAATTAATAACTTGTTAGGAAGTAAATTTGTTAAGAAAATGTAAGGGTTAATGTTACTTTTTGTAATATTAGATTTTTTATCAATTAAAATGGTAATGAATAAACCAAACTACATATATTCCTAAAAGTAGAAAAATTAAAAAAAGACTTAAAAATGTGAAAAGCAATAAGCAACAAACCTTAGCTGACGCATTGTTTTGTGTATAATTGTATATTTATACACAAAACAATGCCTAAAACCGATAAAATTTTATTTAAAACGCAACTTATCAATCTAAAAACAATCATTCAATCTAAATCTACAAATACTGCGTGCGTGTGCTTGAGCGTGTGCGTGTGCTTGTGCGTGTGCGTGTGAGAGGAGGCCTGTGCTCAGCAGTGGGATGTATATAGACTCTAACTTAACTTTACTTACCCAATATCATCCCATGGGTGTCGCAAAAGGCGACGCGATGGAGGGAAATACAAGAGGAGATGGGCAGTAGCGTTTTCTGATAGCAATTCAAGATCATAACTACGGTTGGCAATGCACCAAGCTCGTTAAATATGAAAAGTATCTTATGATAAATATCTATGGGGACTTATGTTCAGTAGTTGACTTTTGATAGGCTGTTAGAAATAAATTAAAAAAAAAAACGCATTACTTGGGCGACGATGAGGTGTGGAAATAAATTCTTTATGTGGAAATTGTCGGCTGATTAATTCAAATTCAAAAAGTTTTATTACAAAAACCGAATATTTAGTCATTTTATCGATGTGATAACACAAAATGTATCTACTTGTAATTGAAATGAATAACATAAAATAAATTGAGTTTCTGCCATGTTATTCTGCCATTTGAAAATACCAATGTAAAATAGCAGCTTGATGTTGCTGTGTTTTGTATGGTAAGTGTAGACGGAGGCCCTTTTACTGGAAACAAGGCATTTCATCTTAGTCCTCAGGGACGACAACGCATCTGAATTTTGATTCTCAATTGAGCATAAATGTAGATGTCTATGAGCCACCGCATCCACTTAACATCAGGTGGACTGTATGTACTTATGTCATCCTAATTCTATTAAAAATGTTAGTTTTGTGATGCATAAAAAAAGAGCTTGTTAGCAATTATAAATAATAAATCGCACGTGTTCACTGTTTAAAAAACGTGAGAAGAAATAAAAGCCAAAATTTTGTGCTTTGAATTTGTGTGTGCAAGTGCGTGAAAGCTTATTAAAAATAAACATCTATCTCATCTAAAAAAACTTAACACGCATTGACCATGAACTATGATGACGCTGATAATTAGTTTATAGAATAAAACTATATATACGGATTCTATCGCGTTTAATTTACTCATTTTAACTTAATTTTGTCACGGATAGTGTATGTATGCAGTGTATTATCCATGGTCACGGGGGGGGGGGGGGGATTGAGATGTTTTGACGTCCCAATGTCATAGTTTTCCCGGATACCTTCAGTTTTATAATATTAATTTTCAGTCCGATCTACGCAGTACTACTTAGTTTATTTTATCCTGGTGATCCCGATCGGGATACCAGGATAAAGTTATTAAATTATTGTATAGTGCATATTTTCAATGGGCCGTATATAAGTTGGTGAAAATTTCATTAAAAGATTGCGTTACATCGATAGATACGCGCGAAACTAAAATCATGTTAAAAAGACACTCTTATCTTTGAACAGTCACTAATCTCTGTAAATAAAAATCAATTACTGTACGTTAGTGTCGCTCAAAGCTCAAAAAAGGCGAAAACGATTTTGATGAAATTTTTTGTGTGTGTTTGAATGGATCCCTAGATGGTTTACATTCGCATTTAGACCCGGTCGAGAAGGGTCGAGACACAGAAATCACTCATGCGAAGCCGGGACAGATCGCTAGTAGGTATTTAATATTTCCGGTGGATGTGTTCGTACTCGTAACTCTTTTTTTATTAAACGGCTTGACCGATTATGATGAAATTTGTATGGGCTATGTATGGGGTCACGTGGATGGTTCGTAGCAATTATCGGACCCGGTATATGGCGTTGTTGTCGAGACCTAGAAATCACCCGTGCAAAGAGAGATGTGGTAGAGCCACGTTGCAGCTATATTATGGTTGTAGCACGAATGTCCCGGCTCGACCGGGAAAGGACCACGATCTCACAGAAAACCAACGTAAAATAGCAGCTTAATACGGCTGTGTTTCGTATGGTGAGCGTAGAGAACCGGAGACCCTTCTTTTACTGGAAACGAGGCAATCCATCTTAGTACTCAGGGCTGACAACGCATCTAAGTTTTGATTCTAAATCTATATAGTCTATGGGGCACAACATTCACTTACCATCAGGTGGATTGTGTGCTCGTTTGTCACCATTATTGTCACAATATTATGAGTTTTTTAAACTGCCCCGTTTTCCGTGTGTTAATGTTGTTAAGGCTGTAATATTCTATAAGTTAAAGTTTCTGTCACAAAAGAATATTAATAATAATTAGTTCCCATAATTAAAGCGCTCCTTTTGCAACGAATAGTTTGTTTTAGTCACTCAACAATTGCTTATTATTTTTTGTAGGCGCTTATGACACCTGCTCTACTCTACGTATTTTATTTGGAGCGACTGTAGTATAATGTGCTGTAGTATTATGTGCTGTGTAGTTCAAGGTGCAAAAAGTAAACTCGGAAAGTCATAGGTTCGAATCCGCCATTCGACTAACGTCGTGAACCACTCTTAACACGAGCATTTCAAGGTTACTTGTAGTGGTTACAGGGATTATAAGTAGCGTTACTGACATTATTTTAATAGATATGATTAATAGGGACTAAGTAGAAATAGCGACATTATTAGAGATCAAAGAAAGATAAAATCCCAAGCTATATTTGCAAAATTACTGTTTCATGCTATCGGCCCCGATTTCTTTTTATTCGTTTGTTTGTTTACAGCAACTGATCCAGCAAATGTGTCGAAGTTGAGGACTAAGATGTAACATCGCTCCACACTATCAGTAAAAACGATCTCTAGTCATCGTCACTCTCTAAACGCTGGTATTCTGTGCTAGTATGGTCCTGATCGCTCCCATATATATAACAGTGTAGTGGCGGTGTAAGAATATCCGCTAAGTACCCCATATCTTTCCGAGGGCGTCGTAGAAGCCAACAGAGGGAAAATGAAATAGCCCTAAGAGAATTCTGAGAGAAAGTCATCTGTTACAGGAATGGACAGAAAAATATCTGTCGAGCCTAGTCCATGTACCGTTAGGTTACGAAGATATTTGAAGATGGACATTGAAATTAGATTTAAAATTTGACTAAAGTTAAAGCGTGCCCGGCTAGCTCAGTCGGTAGAGCATGAGACTCTTAATCTCAGGGTCGTGGGTTCGAGCCCCACGTTGGGCGAAAACTTTTTTAATTTCGTTTACTAATAATGTTAGATGTTATTATGTAATACATAATGGTGTTTTATGTAATCTCAAACTGTGCCATAATAAAGAATTAAAAACAGAAAAAAATATTGCATTGATTTAATCCTTAGTGTTTTCTCTATTTTAAT